AGATTTAGGCTCTTGCAAAGGGGCTTTCACTGCCTGTCCAAGCAGACAGATGTGGCACTAGTGGTGTGTGTCAAGGGAGAGGATCCAGATTAGGGAAGAGGAGGATTAATATCCTTGGAATATTTACAACTCACTGAATTTATATTTAATATGGAGGATAACTATAAAAGTCAAACACACCTCAGCTGTCAAAGAGAGAGGTTCGCTGGTTTCCCTGGCCTCATCCCTCAACCTTCCATTGTGAGTTCTGAACTTGATGAAGGCTATATTGTTCAGTACCCACCTAGAGGGACTGGCACTCACCAAATAACCAGGCATGATTTAGTTCATGAAACACGTTTTTCAGCAACATGCCTTAAAATAATTCACTTTCATATTTTAATTTATATATTTCATAGTATTAAAATTTAACAATCTAATCCCTAATGACATTTTATCATCTGGGATAAATCATTATTATGAGTCATAATAAACTACAATGTTATCAAGACTATGAATGATACAATAATCCATGATGTAACCAACATTTATTGGTGTATCAAATAAAAGTATATCTAAATTATGGAAAAAAAGAACTTAGGCCAATAAAAATGGAATGTCTATAACACTTCTAAGTTTAATCGAATGTAACATCTCCAGTTTAGTAATAGTAACATAGCTCCAAAAGATCAAAATAATTCCACTGAACTGAATTATTAAAGTGATAATGTGAGAAACATTTGAATGTTGTGCAATTTCTTAACCGAAACAAGCAGGCACATGAATTATTGCTCTTGGCAACCTAGGGCCTGATTGCCTTACCCTGAAAAAAAAACCCCTGTTATTTCTTACCACTGGGCATCACACTGAGCTGCTGACTGCTATCACACTTCCTGGCAATATACAAAGCCTTCCACTCCTGCATCTTCCAGCTTTACTTCCCTTCTCTGTGCAGCTATTTGTAGCTATAGTCTGGACATGAAATAGTTACTTAATCCTCTAAACATACCTAACCCACTGGTGTTACGTTTCAGATTGTCTTCCCTCTGCAGCTCAGGGGAGGCACTACAGAACCATTTAACACACTAAAGGAGTAATTATTTCCCAGTACACGGAAGGCGTGAAAGCAGCTTCCCAAAGTGACAAACAATTCTATGGATATTTATGCCCTAGAATAACCTCTATTTTTTATCTTCTAATTAAGAATGAAAATATTATGCCCATTTTAGAATTAAGCAAGGTAGGGAGTTACCCCTTGACTGAAATAGAAAACAATTAGATTATAGAACATTCTTAAAATATCTAATGATTTCGAAGGAGTCAAAGGGACTGGGTTATTGGATGGTTGGCATCATTGAGGGTAAGGAAAAAATCTGTATAAATTGATCCCTGATTAACAGCATAGAAATTGTTCAGTTGCAGCTCAGCAATAATTGCATTTTTAAAAATTAATTTAAAGAAATTTCAAAACTTTACCTTACCAGTTGTATAGATCAGAAAAGAAAACTGCAGTATGGATTTAATACTCAAATACTCAAGGTCAAATCACTGCAAAAGTTTTTATTAAACTAAATTTAGTAGTAGTTTTAAAATTCACAGTACGCCAGAACTATTCACAGAATTACATTTGGTTTATTCAGTTTATAAATGCTGAGTTCAATAGTGCAAATGGATACAGGGAGGGCGAATATCAGCTGTTTCTTCTTCCCTTCTCTTAAGGCTTTCCATCACTACCCTCCCCCAATCTCACTCCCAAAAACAGTCTAGGTAAAAAATTAAGATAATTGGATACTTAGTTTCCCCAACTTAGACTCTTAAGTAACATATAAAACACCAAATATAGCATCCTCTCCTTATATAATAGTAGGGGGTGGGGAGAGAATATACTTTGGTCAAAATAGTTTTTGTTGTATTTGACTGAAGAATTGCCAGTTTAAAAACTTGCTCTTTTCAAGTATCTTAATATTATGTATTTCTAATTGAAAGCCTACCTTTACCTGAAGCAGGTGAAACTATTTGCCCAGCTAATTGTAATCATATAAAATCTGCATACCTCAATAGGTTTTTCCATTTCTAAGGCAACAGAGAAACTAAATTTGCTTTTACTTTCTAATCTAGACATCAAATCAAACAAGCAGGAGTTAACTCTGCTGTTATAGGATATTGTTACATAATAAAAGTTTCCTGTTGGCATTTACAAACTATCCTCCACAGTGTTACTGGACACAAATTAAACCTCTAAATTAGAAGGTTCCCTGATTATAAATATACCTGGAAAATAATGTAGCAACCAAAAAAAAAAAAAAAAAAAACCTTCCCAAAGGGAATTTTTTTTTTTTTTTTTTAAATTTTCCCTTCCCATGGGTCCTTAACTAAAAGGCTTTCATCTTATACTTTTCAATGCCCTTGCTTCACACAAAGTACCATGTTGGAAGACAGCTGATTGGTTGAACAATTGGGATATTATTTTACTGAATTTGATACAAAATAACCAGGTGTAGAAAGGCTTAAGTAAACTCAATTTCCAAAGCAAACTGTTTCAAATAAAAGCATTCATAGTATGCTTTCAACACTGGAAAACACTTATATAGTCATTGGTTGTTCCTTTCTTCATGTTGCCATTTTCCATAACTGTCTCACCTGCCCCAGAAATGAGGTACTTCTACAGCAATATACTGCATTTATAAAGAACATTCTTCTACTTTATTAAGATAATCATTTAAAAATCTAAGCCTGATCTTCTAGTACATTTTTGTTTTTCTGTGTTATGGAAAACAAAATTTGGCAAAAAACTGCCTACTAACCATTACTGATTTTACAAATAATTACCATTCTCTAAAAGTTGTTGGTCTGCATTTCTTTTTTTTTTTCCCAAACTCAGCAGCAAAGAAGAGAATTTCGACCTCCACTAAAAAACTGCATCTTGAAATATACATGATTGTAGTGTCCCCGTGTTACTTTCAATAGTAACTGACACGCCCCGAATTTAACTGTACCAGACAGTTCTATCTGTCCCATCGCTGACCAAACACTGCTTCTCTGTTTCTATTCATTATGTATTATGAGGTTTGAACACAGCCCAGTATGACGAGGAAAAAAATTACAATTTTTATGACAGCAAAGTGATGCATTCAAGATCTTTCTTGCAATACATTCCGCTCTATGAGCACTAACAGGGTTTTTTTCTTCCCGTTGGTAAAGGTAAAATATCCTGGCTGCTAGCTCATTACTCTAAGAACCTTCGGCCCCTCGTTCCTGAAGGTTTTCTAAAAAATCCTAGTAAAAACCATGCACTATATAAACCTTCCAAACCAAACTTGCTAAGAGCCTTGTGCAATGATCAATAACCTTGGCGACACTACCATCGGCCCTAAATTCACGGTCCTGGAGACCAATGCAGCAAAAACCTAGACGAAAGGCTAGCTGAAGCGCCAAAGAACTAGCGCGTTTCTCCGCCGCCCTCTCTGCCGCATGGAGACCTAAGCCTTGGGAGGAGTGGAACGAGGCTCACCAGCTCGGAAGATGCTCCGGTGACCTCTGGCTGCACGGCGTGAGCTGGGCCAGGAAGGCGGGAGAGCAGCCGCCGCGGGCCGAGTGGACTCTGTCCCTGGTGCCTTCCTCG